CCAAACTGTCTCCATACACTGCCAGTGTCCCCTGCTGACTGCCACAGTTGCCCTACTTGAGATCCACTGCCTTAGGCAGCTTCATTTCTGAGGCAGAACTGGGATCCACAGTGATTTCACCACCTCTAATTTTTAGGTGTCTGCTTTGAAACTGTCCCGGCAAATACCCAGAGAGGGAGTACAGCAACCTCAAACCCTCCTGTAGCAAAGGATTTGGAACTTGGCAGAATTAGAGCTAGACGGGTCATATGTTTGGAAATCATGAAGGGTTTAATGGTCTTTGCTTGCTTTTGGTTTGCGTTTACTCCAGGAATTTCTTCTGGGTGTGAGGTGGGTTTCATTTCTTCCCCCTTTTGCTGCTATTCGGTGTTCTCTGGCCTCTTCTTTCTTCCCTCCCAGCTCCTCTTTTTATTTTCATAGGACTGGTCTCACCTAAAGATTTTGACTTCTTCTCTTCTTATTCTCTCAGCTCAATAAAAGTCCCTCAGCCGGTTTATAAGTAAAGCTTAAATCCTGGAAGAGAAAGTCCCTGTGGAGAAGGCAGATGAGGGGCCCTTGGGGCACCTGTGACGGGAAGCTCTGACGACTCTGAGCAGGGGTTGGGGGAGGGCAGGGGACCTCAGGGAAGCCTCAGGCCACAGGGCTGCGCACACGGCTTCCAGAGACAAAGCCGCGAAGCTCAGAGCCTCTTGCTGTGGAATTCAGTATATGTAGAAAGGCAGCTTGGATTATTCTACCAAAGGAAGAGGGCTTCTTGTCCTTCAGAATCTACGTAAAATGTTCACGTTGGAACTACTCAAACGTACTCTCCGTTTTACTTGAAAGTGAAGGCATTTCCAGCTGCAGGCTGGAGTGTGTGTGAGTGTGAGTGCTTATGTGAAAGTGAAGGTGTGGAGTGTGGATGTGAGTCTGTGAGTGTGTGTGACTGAGTGTGTGAGGTGTGTGTATGTGTGTATGACTGTGTGACAGTGTGTGACTGTGTGTGAGTGTGTACATGTGTGAGAGTGTGT